GAGGAGGAGGAGGTGGAGGAGAAGGAGGAGGAGGAGGACTAGAGTAAACCAAAGATGCATCAACGATGCTGGAACGCACGCTTCCGTCCCAAGGCTCCTCCTCAGATTCCCCTACACCTCCTTTAACTCAGTATCAGAAGCGCCACCCCACCCCACCCACCCCCCACCCCCTGAGAAAAAAAGAACAGCACAGCTGAACCTGCCATGTTGGCGAGTGCCCCGTTTGGAAAAAAAGGAATTGCCTTCTCGCAGAATCAAGAGCGCGCAGCAAACGATCACGCAGCTCCACAAGGTGTCCAACGAGGTTCTCCCTTCGAAGAAGGACCACCCCCTCATCCGTGAATACTTTTCACAAGTTTACAGTTGTGGTCTCGTAAATTCCGAGATAATGTCAAGCGGTCGCCCCATGTTGAAAAAAGAGCCGCCATGGGTCCGTGCAGCCCTACGTGCGTTACAGCTACAGGTCTTTACCAGTAACGAAGTCTCCCAGTAATTCCATGGTAAAACAGAGCAGTCCTCCATCCTCAACGAATGCATGCGGCTCTGAGGCGAGCGCCCCATGTTGAAAAATACCATTGCCCAGGCCTCAACAGCTGCCGCAGGATGTGGAAGCGAATGCTCACGACGCTCCAGCGAGAGCCCCACCTGCAAAGGAACCGCACCCCATCCGTGAAGGCAGTGGAACAACCTTTTGAAATGGACGCGCGCGGCGTTAAGGCGAGAGCCCCGTTTGCAAAGGAGCCGCCCTCCATCCGCGAAGATAGTGCGAAACTTTGTTGATATATATATATATATATATATACATATATACATATATATATATATATATAAACGAATGTGCGCGGCGTCAAGGTGACAACAACATCTTGAAAGCGCCCCCCGCCCATGCTCAAAACTGCTGTACATGTGCGAAGACGGATGTGCGCGGCGCTCAGGCGAGGGCAACATTTTGAAAACGACCCGCCCTCCATATTTGAAGCGACTACCTGTAAGACGCATGAGCGCGGCGCTAAGGCGAGAACCACTTTGTGAACAAGACTACCCCCCTGGAACGCGTGAAATTGCTGCAAAGTTGTTAGGCGAATGCGTGAAGCGCGAAGGCGCAACCTGGTGAAAACCGCCCGCCCTCCGTCCTTAAAACCGCTGCAACGTTTTGAAGGCGAACGCGCGCGGCGCCAAGGCGAGAGCCACTTTGTGAAAACGACCCCCCCCCTACGCGTGAACCTGTTGCCCACTTTTCTAGTAAACTGTAATACGAATGTGCGCGGCGCTACAGGCGAGAGCCACTTCGTGAGCACGACCGCCCTCTACGCGTGAAACTGCTGCAGCGTGTTGTGGGGCGATTGTGCGAGATGCTGAGGCGATGACAACATTTAGACTATCC